GCTGTATACAGCTATAGCTGTATACAGCTATCGTGCTGTGACGGTTCCACCTGAAGACGGAAGCTTGTGTTGCCTCCGAAACGTCGTGATTTTTATTTTATTTTTTGTTAATTTTAATTTTTTACCTACGTGACTTTACCGAAAAAAACCTAAGAATATTAACTTATATGTAACAGATTAAAACAAATCCATCTATATATATGTCAGGAATTGTCATGCATACGAGATAAACACCAATAATGGTGATTTATAAACGAACAGCGAGATATGGTTCTCAAAGGGTTACGTTTAGTCTAAACCCAATGACATGCAGTAATACACAGATTGCTTCCGTTACTGCCCGTGAAGGCACGAGGGCAGGGGTCGGCAACCTGGAGCCGCACGCGGCTCTTTAAGGACTGCTGCTTCGTGGCGTTATTTATTAAGGACCACCATCTCGTATTCGCATGCTATGTGGCTCTTGAAATATTGATTTTTTGTGTGACCGAATTCTAAAATAACGCTTCTGCTTGTTATTTTGGTTTCCAACCCCTGTATTAGGTAATAGTATTCATAAATATGTATGGAAAGATAAAGTATGAGTTTTATTCACTGACAAGTACACCACCATTCCTTGGCCAACAGGTCTTTCAAAGAGGATTTGAGTAGACAGCAGAGACACGGACATTATTTTTGTATTTGGTTTGTTGTTCTTCCTCCGCACCTTCAATTTCAACATCCATACATATGTAGGGCTGTTACAGAGGGGCTGTTTGTGTAGGGCTGTATGCATAGGATCAAACGGGTAACTAACACAGTGGGCGGGGCTCCGTCAGTACACGGGGAGGTGCCCGCAACGACGTCCGCACCGACGTCCGCACCAGGCGGCGTGGGGGGGCTGCCCGTGGGGGGGGGGTTGTGATCCTCTGGGGGGGTATAAAAGGGGATGAGCCAGAGAGCTCGGGGTTCAGTCTTAGAGTAAATAGGGGAAGACGGAAGATCGACCAGCTAGGCCCTGGACTCCCCTGGGACGCCGCCCTTATCAGGGCCGCGCAGGACCGAGCCAGTGGCGTGGTCCCGTGAACCAGAGTTAGTACTCTGGGACTCCGGGTACCGTAGCCCAACTGACCAGTGTCGGGCCAGATAGCCTCCCCGTTAGTGGAGGACTAGGGATAGGTCAGGGGTAGCTAATAGAATATTCCCAGCTATCCGGGTGAGGGGGCCGATACACCCCTCTAGTATTGTACGACCATTTGTATAAATAAATACGTGTGCCTTACAACGGTGTCCAAGCGTCCTCAGCGGTACTTCATCTGGTGTCAGAAGAACTACGAACATGGACACGCGCCAATCAGCTCGGGCCAAAGTACCACAAATGGAGGACGCCGCTGAAATTGTCGAGCCCGAGACGGCTCAACAAGACATCGTGCAGCCAGGGCCGGACGCGTTCTTACCGGTGCATCGGCATGAAGAGGGGCCGCAGACAGACGGGCTGAGGCTGGCTCACGAAAGGCTGGCTGAACTGCTTTACGCCGCTGCCGCCACGCTGGAGAACATCACGCGGCTGGGGGCTGGTGGTCCACCATGGGGCGAGGGGAGCCGGCGTCCGGAGCGCCTTCCCGCCATTTCCGAAGATTTAAACTTTGAATTTCCCGCCATCGATGCGGCGGCTGCTAGGGGCGTGGCCAGCCTGAACCTCGGGTCCGACATCGGCCTCGCTGGGGCTGCCGCGTCAGCGCCAGAGGAGGGCGCGTCATCATGGCTGCGACAGGCGATACCATCTGCCGTTCGCGCCGAAACACAGCCGAGTCATGGAGACAGCAGCCTGCGGGGTTCCACAGCAACCGCTGCGCTGCACCAAAGACTGCCTCCGCTTAAAGAGTTTGTTGGCGCAGAGGGCGACTGAGGCGGCTTCCGGCGACGCTTCCTCGCCCACCAAGAAATGGCTAAATGGTCGGATGCTGAAGCTCTCTGCGCGCTGCCGGCGCTCCTCGACGGCGACGCACTCGCCGCCCTCACATCGGCGCCGAAGGAGAAGCGCTCTACGCTACCGATGGCGCTGCAGCTGCTGGCCGGGGTCTACGGACCTTCAACGGAATGCAGGCAGCAGTTTTACGACCGCCAGCGGGGCGCGAAGGAGTCGCCCCTGGCATACAGAACAAGTCTCCTGGCGTTGGCCAAGACAGCCTTCCCTCGCATGGACGAGGACGGCGTCGACGCCATGGTGACTGAAAAAATCTTCCTGCTGGCAGACGACCTGGACATCGCCGTCGTTGCACAGGAGGACACGGAGATGACTTCCCTCCAGGCGGCGCGGCTCCTCCACGCCAACCTGCTGTCACAGCGGCGGAAAGCCAGCAGGGCAGCGGCCGGGCGTGCGGTGGCGGCAGCCACTCTCCCGGCGGAGGAGGTTTTCGCCGTCAACCATCGTCGGCAGCAGGGGACGGGAGCACGGTCAGGCCGGGATGGGTCGAGCCGCTTCGACCGTCCGTCATCGCCGCCGGCGCTCCCGCGTTGCTTCAACTGCGGCGTCCGAGGCCATGTAGCCTCGGGGTGCCGCTCTCCTCGACAGCGCGGGACGACGCCTCGTCAGGACGCCGGCCCTCCTCCTCCTCCCAAGCTCCATCAACATGATCCGGCGAGTCGCGGCACCACACATGTTTGGCCTAAGCACATACCTGTCGCACACTCTCGCACCACAACGAATGGGGGGACGACGTTGCATCGCGACGGGTCAGCGCGCACCACTGTGGGGACTCGAATCGAGCCCGGGCAGTGGTCCGTCTTGGCCCATCGCGTTGTGGCCGCGTCGTCGGGGTCGTCGGCCATCGTGGGACACATTGACGGGGTTGAGGTACGCATCCTGGTCGACACGGGGGCATCGGCGACCATCATTTCCGAACTAATTTACAACATTTTACCTGTCCAAAGCCGTCCCTTACTGCCAGTTAACGTCCCATTCTATGCTGCTAACGGGGGCTCCCTTGGCATCATTGGACAGATTCGAGCGCAAATTTGTATCGGGGATATCAAATTGTCGGGCCCGATTTTTGTTTCCTCCTCGCTGGCGGTTCCGTGCCTGCTGGGGACGGACTTCTTGGGTAAAATGCCGATTCGTATTTTAATAGACCAGGGATGCATTGAGCTCCCGTCGGGACGGCGCATGGCGTTTCTGCCTTCTCCTACTGTGACTCGGACGGCGTTCGTAACTATACCAGCGTCCGTCGTTGAAACGGTTCGTGTGCCGCCGGGAGCTCAAATGTTAGTGCCTCTAAGACTTTGTCGGCCCTTCGCTGAGGGCATCGGGGCCCAGGGAATCCTGTTAGGATCGTCTAGGGCCGGGGTTAGTGGACCGCATTTGATTCCGGCCCTGACCGTCGTGAGGGGGGACGGGGACCCTTTCATCGCGGTCCTCAATGTGGGATCGCAAACTGTTGTAGTTCCTCAAGGGACGGTGCTTGCGCACGCGACGCCGGTGCCCTGCGAGGAACCAGTTGCAAATCATGTCGGCACCGCTCCCCGGCCGCACCCACGTTCGGACAGCGATGAAGGGTGGCTCGACGCGCTTTGTGCGGGATCGACGGACCTGTCAAATTCTGAACGCCAACAGCTTAGAGCGCTACTGCAGGAATTTTCCGACGTTTTCAGTCGGAACAAATACGATTTGGGTTGCACTCCTCTGCTGCGTCACCATATTGACACGGGTGACAGCACGCCAATACGCCAGAATCCGTTTCGGTTGAGTCCCGCCGAAAAGGACCATGTCAAATCGGCTATTGATGACATGTTAGCCGCCGACATTATTTCTCCCTCTACCATCCCTTGGAGAGCGCCGATCGTCCTGGTTAAAAAGCAGGACGGCTCGTTGCGGTTTTGCGTTGATTTTCGGCGCCTTAACAAAATTTCGGTTGCCGACGCATACCCGCTCCCACGGATGGACGAATCGCTGGACGCCTTGGCGGGAGCGCGATTCTTCTCCACGCTGGATTTACTTTCGGGATTCTGGCAGCTTCCTCTGGATGATGAATCGAAACCTAAAACTGCTTTCCGTACACCGCACGGCCTGTTCCAATTCAACCGGTTGCCGATGGGCTTACACTCAGCGCCGGCAACCTTCCAGCGTTTGATGGAATTGGTTTTGGCTGGATTGCAATGGGAGTCGTGCCTGATTTATTTGGATGACGTTATCGTCTTCGGTAAAACTTTTGACGAACATCTCCAGAGGTTGCGGGCGGTTTTCTTAAAGATGCGGGCTGCTAATTTGAAGTTCAAGCCCCAAAAATGTCATTTGTTACGCGATTTCGTGCGTTATTTGGGCCACATCGTAGGGCGCTCCGGTATTGCTACCGATCCCGCCAAAACGCAGTGTCAGCTCCTGGCCGACTCCCACCTCGGTGGGAGAGGTCAGGAGTTTCATCGGCTTCGCGTCGTATTACCGACGGTTCGTCGCTGATTTTGCGACGATTGCCAAACCCCTACACGCCTTAACATCTAAAGGGGTTCGGTTCCACTAGGGTCAGGAGGAGGAGGCTGCTTTTTGCTCCCTTCGGGACGCCCTGGTAAAAGCTCCTCCCTTGATTTACCCCGATTTTTCAAAATCGTTTCTGCTCGACACCGATGCGAGCAACACGGGTATTGGGGGCGTGCTTTCCCAGGTGGTTGACGGCGTCGAACGGGTGGTTGCGTACGGCAGTCGGGTGTTGTCTCAGGCGGGGCAAAGATATTGTGTCACCCGCAGGGAACTGTTGGCAATTGTCTATTTCATCCAACAGTATCGCCCATATCTGTACGGTCGGCATTTCACCGTCCGCACAGATCATGCGGCACTGCAGTACGCCCTGCGAGTTCAACAGCCATCGGGACAATTGTCCCGATGGTTGGAGATCCTCCAGGATTTTGATTTCGAAACCACCTACCGTAAGGGCGTTCGCCACACCAACGCGGACGCTCTGTCGCGCATGCCAACCACCTCAGAATGTGCATGCCTCCTGGGGTCGGGACGTTGCAAGCCAGCAGGGGACATGTCGGTTCCGGTCCTTGCGGCCGCCGCCGACGGCGAGACAGTTGTTCCAAATTCTATTGAACAACAGGGGAAAGATTCCCTGCTGGGTTTGCACATTCAGGAATGGGGGCGCCTCCAGATGGAGGATACCTCCCTCCTCGCGTTGCGTCGTCGCGCCGGGGAGGCGGGGCGGGGGTCGGGTGATGCCGACGCATGGGAAATGCACGCGGGGTTGCTGATGCATTGGGACGGAAAATCCCACCGACACCGGCTGGTGGTCCCTTCTGGGTTACGGGGTAGGGTGGTGTGGGCTGCTCATGAGCGCCTCCTCCACCTGGGTACCCAAAAGACCCTCGCCTTGCTCCAGCGTGATTTCTTTTGGCAAGGCATGACAAGGGATGTCTCAGATCTGTTGGTTTCATGCCCTCGGTGTGCGCAGCGAAAACCACCAGCACGAGAATCAAACCCGCCTTTGCAGTCTATCAGGGTCTCCAGAGTGAACGAACTTGTCGCGCTGGATATTCTGGGCCCATTCCCCGCCACCCCTAGGGGTAATAGATATTTGTTAACCGGGGTCGAGTACTTTACGCGCTGGCCTATGGCCTGGCCCCTGGCCAATCAGTCGGCAGCAGCCATCGTCGACGCCTTTGTCCAAGGTTATGTCATGGACAAAGGTGCTCCGGAGCGGCTGCTGACCGACCAGGGTAAAAAATTTTCCGGAAAACTCCTCCAACAGGTCTGTGAGCTCCTGGGAACGAAAAAAATTCGTACCTCCCCCTATCACCCGCAAACTGACGGGATGGTCGAGCGTCTGCATCGCACCATCTCGTCTATGTTATCACAGCAGGTTTCGGACTCACAGACCGATTGGGACTTGCAAATCCAAGGGGTCTTGGCAGCATACAGATTGGCCCCCCATGCTGCAACGGGATTTTCACCCTTCTTCCTCATGTATGGCCGCAATCCTGACCCACCTGTTCGGGCGCAGCTGCAGATCCCCACGCCGCTGGGTAAAACTAAATTAGTTGACCATGTTAAATTCAACCTTGCTAAATTGACTGAGGCACGGGATGCTGCCATGCTAAATTCCGACCAGCGTCAGAAAGCAAATGAGCGCCTCAGACTGGGTCGCGCGCACGTGCTGCAGTGGAAGCCTGGGGACAGGGCATGGCTGCACTGCCCCCAGGTACCACTCGCGACATCCTCTAAACTGGTGCGGCCGTGGCGGGGTCCTGTCGAGGTGGTCGAGGTTTTGCGGCCTCAGTGCGTTCGCATCAAATGGGGGAAGCGCCGGTGGTTTGTGCACCCCTCGAGACTTAAACCATTCGTTGCGGTGCGAGGCCCCACTCCACACACGCGTGGCCAAACATGTGGGGGGTCGGCCGACTCAAAGGGTCCGTCTCTGCTGCTCTCGCCTGACGTGTTGCCGGCTGTCCCGCCCACAGGTGCACCGGGATTGACGGGCTCGCACCCAACCACCTCTAACGGGGGATGCCGAGGGTCTCGCGACGTCAAGCGCGGACTCACTGCAGAATGGACAGCTGCCACCGGACGGTCCGCCATCCGGGGTTGCCCCGTGTGACGGGCCTGCAGCAAGGACGCGCACAAAAATGCGCAGACTCTTGTGATGCATTAAAAGGAAATTTATTTCTCTCGTGTATGGTTGCGGGGTGCTGCGTCGGTGGGGTGCTCCTGCCACATTGTGTTGTGTTGTGTTGCGTGTGTGCTAGGGGTTCCCTGCTAAAATTGTATATACGTCGCTCTTACGGAATTCGTATTTATTCAGGGGGGGTGCGTCGGGTTGTTTTCCCTTCGGGGTTTGTTGGTTCTTGTTGTTGTTCCATTCACGTTATGGTTAAAATTGTTTTTGAGGCACACGCGGAGGTCAAGGGGTTAATAAACCTTTATTGAAGTTGTTGCAGCCGGGACGGCTGCGAGCTGTACAGGGGGGGGTGATGTAGGGCTGTTACAGAGGGGCTGTTTGTGTAGGGCTGTATGCATAGGATCAAACGGGTAACTAACACAGTGGGCGGGGCTCCGTCAGTACACGGGGAGGTGCCCGCAACGACGTCCGCACCGGGCGGCGTGGGGGGGCTGCTCGTGGGGGGGGGTTGTGATCCTCTGGGGGGGGTATAAAAGGGGATGAGCCAGAGAGCTCGGGGTTCAGTCTTAGAGTAAATAGGGGAAGACAGAAGATCGACCAGCTAGGCCCTGGACTCCCCTGGGACGCCGCCCTTATCAGGGCCGCGCAGGACCGAGCCAGTGGCGTGGTCCCGTGAACCAGAGTTAGTACTCTGGGACTCCGGGTACCGTAGCCCGACTGACCAGTTTCGGGCCAGATAGCCTCCCCGTTAGTGGAGGACTAGGGATAGGTCAGGGGTAGCTAATAGAATATTCCCAGCTATCCGGGTGAGGGGGCCGATACACCCCTCTAGTATTGTACGACCATTTATATAAATAAATACGTGTGCCTTACAACGGTGTCCAAGCGTCCTCAGCGGTACTTCACATATGTAGTGACGGTACGCACTGACAAGGGGGGAGCGTGTGAGAGCGCGTCAGGTGTGGCTACCTCGCGTGGTATAGTGGTGACGCGCGCTGACAGTGATGGATTGTGTGGCAGCGCGTGGTGAGTGGTTGTGTGCGCTGACACAAGCTGGGAAAAAGGATCGTGTGGCAGCGCGTGGTGATTGGTCAACTAGGGTGGGTGCTCACATCGAGGTCCGCATAGGCTCCATCTCCCCGGGAGCGGAGGACTATAAAAGGCGATGCGCGGGGGTGCTCGGGGAATTGGTAACCAGTGAAGATCGAAGACGGAGTTGGAAGAGATAGGGCCCTGAGACCCCTAGTCCCGCTGTCCTTGTAAAGGCCGGGACCCTGTGCGGCTCAGAGGCGAGACCGTGGGACCCGCGGCCTGACGTCCTTGTGAGGGCGAGGCTGTGGGACCCAGTGGTCGGGACCCATACCCCAGCCGGGGTGGGTTCCCCGGAAGCTACGGGGCGGGAGAGCCCGTGTGTGTGTAGCCGGGGGAACCGCGTAGCGTAGGCTGCAGTTGGCCACACGTGTCAGTGAAGTTGGTGTTAATAAAAGTGTGCTACCCGTCAAGTCGTCTCCCGCCCAAATTCCTACATTGCACATACTGTACATACTCGTGTTTCTTTCAGAAGGGCTCATCGGTGCCGGATTAAGCTAGTGCGGGGCCTGTAGCATATGTTATAAAGGGGCCCTAAGTAAAAACCACAAAATATTTTATTTTTTCATTTGCTATACATCCAGATAATACGACAAATCGCTAACCTTAAACACCCAGCCATTAATAAAAGTTGAAAGCAGTATAGTACTATAGTAATAGACAGTGGCGGCTCCTGCAAAATCTCTCAGGGGGGGCAAATGTCTGGATGATTTATAAGGATAAGGTCTACCCATGCAATGGATAAATTAACAGCTTAAGCATGTAAAGGCAACTTCACTTCTTTAATATAAATGAAAAATAAAGTGACTCTTACAATACATCTTGTTTGTTTCTATACTCACTATTAATACAATCCACTCAAGTTTCTTTTATTAAAGATTCCACTAGGTGGCGACAAATTATATTGTTTGATGAAACGTGCTTACGTATGATGACGTAAGCACGTTAGGGCGAGCCCTCCCGGAAGCCATAGAGAATGCATTGCAGCGCCCCCCAGTCGAAAAAAAACATCTTTGAATGTAAGTCTATGGGGCCACTCGGGGCGATTCTCAGCCGGAGTGAAATCGCCCAAAAAGAGGCGGTACTCCACAGAACGTGACATGACGCTGATTGGACTATATCCAGATGCACAGTGACGGCTAGCGTGACTCTGTGGTTGAATGACATTGGTGGTGCGTCGCCCAATCGCCCTAATGAAGAAACCGCCCCTGGTAATAGAGCAAGTGCAGAATCACTGAACCGGAATTGATAGCTTGAAAGCATTTAGCGCGGGGCCTTTGAAAGTGCGGGGCCCGGTAGCGTATGTAGCTACTTTTGCTACGAGGATAATCCGGCACTGGAGCTCATCAGTAGGCCATTCCTAGCAATGGATTGCAAGTGCGGGACCAGTCAGTGTGTGTGTGTGTAACGACAAAGAGACCACCAATGTATCTTGCTTCAACATCTCTCAACTTTTGCATGATCGTTATCCAACCTATACGAGTCTCTCTACCTCATCCTTGTTTTACCAAAACCACTCCATTCCACTCGGTCCTCTTTCACTGGCGCATGTGGTGTGGCTCACCTGCAACAATCGCCCTTTTGAATTAATACTCGTCTGCCACATAAGTATTCTTAGTTGGAACAGAGGTTCAACTCATTTCATCTGTTACGTATCACTATGCTAAACACCAGATAGCACCGCCTTGGAAACACTATGCAAAATATTTAATAATTAAGAATGATTGTAGCTATGCAGTTGTTTAAGATAAAGGCATCTATTATAAAAGGCCCCGTTCCGTGTATCTGTTTGATGGTTTCTCCGTCAACTGAATTATAAGAAAGCCTTTTCACAAGGCCTGAATAAATAAGTTAGAAAGTGGACTCCCCTGACCCCCACCCCCATGTGAGGGTATAAAGTTGATCCAACAGGTTTCCAAAATTGTCGAACCCCACACTGTCCCCCCCACCCCCCAAAAAAGGAATGTATGTTGTAGGCATATATTCCTACACACGCTACATACAATAGAGTCCAGATTTATTTTGTAGGCAGGAGTTAGAATGGGCTGGCCGTAGGCCGCTGAAGTTCTAGTCTATAAAAAAATGACATTTTGCGAATGTTCACAAATAGGGTGCAGACGAGTCTCTGCAGGGGGGGAACTACGTTATCGCACTATTCTACAAATGTTGAAGAATTGCGTTTGTACTGGCACTCTTCTTGTGCTGAAGCTTGTACTGTGAGAGATGTTGTCCTGACTTCGTGTTACAATTCTTTTTAAAAAAGTTATAACGTACAGGAAAGTAGCACCATAGCACATTCACACTGCATATATAACAGCCCCCTTTGCCTACAAACTAATGTCAATAATATGACTTGCAGCTGCAGCTGATCCTGAAATAATTACTGTCAGCGTGAAGGAGAATGACAGCACCTGCCTGCCGTGTGGCCGAGGTAGGAGTGCCCAGCCAGGCTCGGTGGTCTGGTTCAGGGTGGCACAAGGAGCCAGAGACCAGCCGGTCCCCGTGGCTTTGTGCTCCGAAAAAGAAGCCTTCATCCCTTCTTGTGATCGTGATGGAGGGGGCGCATCAGGGGTGGGGAGGCTCTGCTGCTCTGGGTCTGGTGGCCTCACGATAAGAAGAGTGGAGGCTGGCGACAAGGGGACGTACACGTGTGTCACGGGGGCTCTCCTCGGCCAGCACGTGTGTAACAACAGCCTCGCCATGTGCGAGACAGACCTCTGGCACAAGATGTTGAATCATCCCAATAATCCTGTTCAGAAAACTACGCAGGTGTCAGTTATAGGTAAGCACCACAATGTAATATACCTGATTAATCCATTTATTTTCCAGTCTTTTAACAGTATAGTACAGAGACATGTGTTCTAATGAGTTTTAATGATTGTAAACCAGCCGAGGTTGGTGGCACGCACTTTAAAGTGAAGCGAGTGAGAGGTGGGATCGGAGGGTCAACAACTGAGCACTGATGTACGTGAAGCAGCGGCAGTGGCACAAGGGGCCTAAAAGAGGAAGCACAGCAAGCATGCTTCATGACAAATCTGTGAGGATTTTGAGATCCCCCCCTCCCCACCCGCGTGTGGGTCTACTTCTGGGCACTGCGGGTGTCCTTCCGAATATTCCATACACAAGCCAACTCAAAGGGGAAGTGGCTAAACATCCTTGCTGAGGTCCCGACTCAGTGAATACTTAAATGGGTAAATATTTAAAAATTGTTCCGAAAACAGACGTTGGCATGCAAAAATTAATATTTAAGTGAATAGCAGTGTTGAGTAATTCAGTATTTATTTCAGATTGAGGAAAATTATCATTCTTGACTATTGTAGTACTTATTGTTTTCCCCTACCCATTTCCCCGCCCTTATTCCCTGGCTTAGTCTGAAAATGAACCCCTTTCACCTGTACACGCTCCCACGAGGGACAGACACTAACCCAGAGGGAGCAATCTCCAGACCCCCTCCCCGTACTTTCCACGCGTTCTCTATCCTGATCAAAGGTCGGCAACCAAAATAACATGAAGATGTTTTTTTTTCGAATTCTGTAAAAAACCCTCAATATTTCAAGAGCCACAATGCATGCGAATATGAGACAGCGGTCCTTAATAAATGATCTCACGAAGCAGAAGTCATTAAAGAGCCACCGCATGCATCTCTGGAGCCGTCAGGTTGCCGACCGCTGATCACGATTGTTGCAATGGGTTCAATTAAAAAAAAGTTGGTTTTAAAAATTATTAATATTCATACATCCAAAGAAAATTTAAATGGAATGAAAAACAGTGATGTGTATTGTATAATAAATGCAAGATACGGTTTATGGTATATTATATACTGTATATACATTTGGCAGCATAGATAATTCAACGGTGAAGATGGAGTGATGAGATCAGTTCATGTTCACGGATGAGATCAATTGTAGCATCCCAGGGCCAGACGGGATAGTGGCGGAGTGGGGAGGTATTTATCTAGCAGTGGATCGACCATGGCAGATAATGATGCTGATGTAAAATTACATATAGTTCTAAGATTTCAACATATCTTGGGGACCTCGGTAAAACATTGACATTTAATATTTATCAACATGTAAGAGGATTATACTGGGACTGCACTTTCCAGCCCTTTAGAAGTAGGACTTCTGTAATTCACAAGCTGATATCACCCCTGTACAACTCTTCAATGCCATCAACAGGTGACGATGCTGGATCGATGAGGACGTACATCGTAAAGGTTCACACTGGGAAAATACACAGAAGTGGAACCGATGCAATCGTTACAATTCACATCTATGGAAACAAAAATAATGTGACCTCACAACTGGTTACATCAGAAACAAACAACAATCCCTTTGAAACTGACCAGGTACTGCAATGCACTTAAAATAAAAATCTCACGTATTGATGATACAATTGGCTAATATTGTGTTTGAACGAATTAGGCTTGTATACTTGCTACTACAGAAATGTGAAATGTTGTTAAAGTAGTATATCACACTCCCAGTGTTAAAGGTTTTATTAGAATTATGCATTCAGTATTTCTCATAAACGACGGCTATGTGTCAGAGGAAAGTCATATTTGTGACGAGTGCTCAATTGTTCTCATACCATTGTAACTTTTTAACACGATGAAACCAAGGTGTTATTTTGTCGAGCCAAAAAATGAACATTGAATTTCTCGGGTGGCAGGGGCCCATTGTGCTTTGATTAATTGACATGTGGATGGAATTCAATACCTCTACCATGAGAATGTTCTTCAATATAATCGCCTTCCAGCAATTTGGGTGAAACATATTTGGCGATCATGGGATGCAACTCTGGGCTGCATGGTGGCCAAGAGATGATGGTATTCAAGTAAATAGATTGGTAAACTTGCTTGTGTGGACCAAGGAGAGAAACCCATCATTTTCTCCAGGCACTCGAGTTTCCACCCGCATGTAGAACACGCTTTATACATTAATTTGATTGTAATATGGACCTTTCTGAAAACAAAGTCTTTTCATGGATAAATTAAGGACATCATTATATTAGTTTTGTGTCATACATATCATTCGGATTGTTTGTGCAGTTCCATTTTATTTGCATTGTTTTTTTGAAGTGTAAGACTAACTATATGAATTGTCGTGCATCCTGACAAGAAAATCTAATTATTGTTTTACGTTTGTGTGGCTACAGGTGGACATCTTCACGTTAAAAGTAAACAATATCGGAACAATCATGAAAATCTCCGTGGCACACGACGGCACCGGGCTATTCGATGACTGGTTTCTTGAGAAAATTGACATCGAGGATGAAAAGTCAAAAGTCACTTACACATTTACAAGCAATGTTTGGGTTTATAAAAACGATGTAAAAACCCTTCAGATCCAGGTGAGTTATGCATGTTTTTGTTATCGCTGGTTAAACTGTTGCATTACAAAAGGCACAAGCGACCTTGTGGCAGTGCACGTTTCATTTCAGAATCAGAAAAAAATTAGACTGGAGGAGGATTCCAACGAGCCAAGAAGCTCTTTTCACAGATTTGCCAGTATGGACAAATCACCAAGTTACAACAGTAAACAATAGCAAAACGATAGGAGGCATTTGTAGCCATGAGACATTTGGTGGAAATTCCAAATCGATATCCTTGGGGCCAGCCTCGCCGCAGGACGCCCACTGCTGACCTCTCACAAAGGAGTAGTGATTTTAGTGACCCAGCAGAAATTATGCCACTGCGTCAAGGCAAAATGTTGACAGTTTGGTTGGGTCTTGGAGTCAATGAAATTGTAGAGTTGGGCGTCATAATCATTAAAAACAGTGGCCGACGTTGCCAAGTGGGAGAAGATCAAATGTGATGAGCAAAGGACCGAGGATGGAACCTCGTGGAACACCAATGTGGTTTCTCAGAAAAAACAAACCAGTAAGAATTTGCAAATGTGTACAAGAGAAAAAGACCTGACAAAATATTTATAGAAATTAGGTTACGGTTTTCATGCATAAAGAATTGCATTTTTTAGTTACGATTATTTTTAATTGTACCTTCAATCAGCAGACATGTTGACGGATTATAGCGACTCCCTATAAACATGATATACAAATGTAATGTATACGAATCGCTGAAATCAAGCAGCTTCCACAAGGATCTAGTTTCAGTTGAAATACACATCTCATTTGGGTGACAAGTGTAGGACAAATGAAGTGCTTTTTTTAGGTATACACCCGAATTCATTGCCATCACTTAATGTCCAACAATCACATGCCACACTTTAGCAGAGCACTCGTGCCCTCTACAGGGTGTTACGCATAGCTGACTTTTGAGTTAAGTGCATCCGTGTGTAAGATTATAAATTGCAGTAAATCCACTCGAAGCTGGACTAATTGCGGGCTCGGCCTTTCCAGTTTTTTTGGAGTTGTGCAGCCACTACACATAAATAATACATACATCAATAAGTTTGAGTTACATTGACACACAACCAACGCCAAACACATTTTACAAAAACGTATTAACTACTGAACATTGACAAATAAATCATGCTTAAAAGCAGTTTGATCAGAGTAATTTGCAATCAGCGGTGGAGAGCTGACATTCACTGGATGGGAAAGCATGAAACGATTGACTAACGGGCTTGAAGAATCCAATTTGCTTATGGGTACAACAAATGTGGAATAAATGTGAAAAAACTAGCAAGGACTCGGCTTGCCATGATAAGTATGTACGTTGAACTTATTTTGCAGCGTACGTGGTCAACCACGCCAATCGGTGATGCGGGGGAAGGACAACAAACTAAACACAAAAAACAGTTCATGCATGTGGCGATACTACAATATTTCGTAATATCCACGATGATCATTACATGTCATATATCACTTCTAATATATCCACCATAAACTCTGTCATCAATTTGCTAAATATAATATAAGTACTGTGGTAAATAGTTTTCATATTTAAAATTCCTGACAAAATCTGTATTAAATAACAGAAGCACAATATTTAAATTTTAAAATAATTAGCTATTACCCGTAAAATTCTTGTTTTGTAAACTGTTTTCAAGAATAATTGGCGGCATGGCCGTTGTTTGATGAAAAGTTTAGGAGTTCATAGATTTGTTTAATCTTTATTTATTCATGTTGATATTCTGGATAATTCCAAATTGTGGTTTTCTGAAGTCAGGTTTCCAGAGGTTTTACTGTACTGTTATTTGTCCTCGTTACAAAGCAACCCATTGACGGCATTACATGAAATCTATTCTTTTGATCAAACAGCCTTTTGGTGTTACGAGTTACAACCCATAATTTAAACACAAAGCACCATCAAATGTACTGGTCATAATTCTTTAGGAGTGTGCACAGTGCTTCTGATTATGAAAAAAGGTCATGTTTAAATATTGCTGTTTTTATTATTTCTAGAAAATTCATCATGGAATCCAGACACCTACTGCCCAAGATACATTTTGTGATGTTCTCACGCAAGATGCAAGTTGTCATGTCGGTAATGTTAAATCATGTTATGCTCTGCACTGAAGTGATTTATTGGCTCGGGGTAATAATTATAATTATCAAAGTACTGATCTGACATTCAAATCCTGGATTTAAATCTGGGCAGCCCCTTGTGATGAAATATGGTCATCACTTGTAAAGATTCGATTACCTCAGCCTGGTAATGAACGAATGAAGAGGAAAAAAAATTACATTTGGCTGTCACTCTATTTAAAATATTTCAGCTCTGGACGCTGCGGTCGCAAGATGTTAACTCCCTCGTCTGGTATACAGGAGGTCATGGGTTCGATCCCGACTCTGGAGCCTGTATATTTGGAGTTTGCATGTTCTCCCGTGGTCGCGTGTATTTTCTCCGGGTCCTCCGGTATTTGGCTGCTATACATTTCCACATAAGCCACTTCGTTGAGCTATCATTTGTGGCCAGGTCGCTTCTGGAAAATAGCTACAAATCTCATGGGCCTTACATAATAAAAACGTGTATAGTTAAAAAAAACAACTTCATTCTTGGTCCGAGAACAACCTTGTGATGCACATGGTGTGCTATCTAGTGTGAGATAATAATGGCTTTGCTGAGGTAATTTCAGAAACTATGGCATCTTACAACGTTCGTTCCAATTGTTTCTTCGTGCCAAATTGAACTTCCATGCCCTGACGCTCATTCCACAGTCTCTTGCAGGGGTTGGCAACCAAAATAACACTTTTTTTCGAATTCGCAAACAAAAAAGCCTCAAAATTTCAAGATCCGCTTTACATGCGAATAACATCACGCAGCAATAAAATAACCACATGGTTGCTGACTCCTGGTCTATTGTTATATCGCCGCTCTAAGAGGGATTCTGGTCTTCCTCGTGAAGCCGCTTCACTCCAACCTCCACTGTCCCTGCCTACCTCCTCCAGCTACACGCGCACACCCCCCCCCCCCCGCCCGTATGTATGTTGAACTTAATTTGCACGGTACGTAGCCATCGGTGCTAATCGACAAATACACCCTGTATACTTATAGGTTCTTTCGGTAAAGTCACGTAGATAGGAAAATAAGGGCGTCAACACAAGTCTCGCTACACTCGGCACGCCCAGCGGTTGGCGCTTCCCCCGATCTCCGCTCTCCCGCTCGCCGTTGCTGGGGCTCCTTGCGTTAGAAGAAAGGTTACCGTGTGGGGGTTTGTTTGCAGTGATAAAGTGATGTTACTACTTCTCCATTGATGTCATCCAAGCGACGACCGTCCAGTGCTAGTGGCTCTTTACTGGGCAAGGCGTGCAGCGTAAATCCATCTCTTTTGGAAGTGAAAATGCAGATCAGAGGAGGCGGGCGAAATGAAAAGTTAAGTGACCCGTTCGTTGGGGTTGGCGAGTCCACCTTCAGGACCCTTTTAAACCGAGCAGACAAAGTGCTATTGTGCAGCAATGTTTTCCTCTTGTATCCTCCTCTAAAGTCCAGCATCCCCTATGTCTCGTATGTTATATCTACCACTGGGAACGCGGTTCCTCATAACGAGGTGACATCATGGGACGCATCTACCTCGTTAACCGAGGTATACCTGTACGAAAATACAGTGCGTACTGTTTAGCTTTGCATTGTCAACAGATCAGCATCGTGTTTAACATGTTGCCCGCGCGTTCGCAGGCGTAATGGATGAGATGTGCACGCAATTCGGAAGCAAAAAAACGACTCTGGAGACAACAACGGCCTGGCTTAACCACTCGACGTCTGCTCTGACCAAGCAAGCTATGGGAGGCCATGTCGAAACTGGGGGGCAGTCTCAACCTGAAGTCGTCTACTGGCTGCCCATCATTGGCGTTTTGATCATTATCGTTTTCCTGATGATCGTAGCAGTCTTCTTCCACATTCATACAAAGAGACGCACGCCGAGTGGTGAGTCTAACTGCACGCTGTTGTTTAGTGCGTGTGTGGGCGCCTGCTGGTGAATGTAGCCGACATACGCCGCGGTGTTTAGCCAATCATATTGCCGCCACCTTAACTGACAAGCGGATAGATAGACCGACGGGCAGATGCTAACGCAGAATCGAAATTTAAGTTGAAAGTGTTAAAGGAAGCTTTGCACAAAAAATTGCAGGTGGCAATTAAAGCCAATCAAAATGTCTGATGACCACCGATAACAAAATCAAGACAGTTTTGAGCTCTCCTTGAAAGCGATCTCACCTTTGGAAACAAATCCGTGCTGTTAAAATTATCTCGTGCGCTTTTGTATGTTTGATACTAATGCTGAACAATTATGCTTTTTCATTGCAGTTATGCTTCTGGCCAACTATCAGAGGTAACTGTCTCTTTCTCATAATTATGCTTACTATGAGACAATGTAATTATTGCACTGCATCATTTTTATTCACGGTTCACACGGTTTGGAGACACGACACGGCAATTACAGTTGTTGGTGATTGTGCGCTCAATGGAAACTGAAAACTGGACAATGATTTTTTATATCAGTTGCATGCACACAAACATATAGGGCAGTGATTGGTAGTGCATTTGCACTTTCAAGTTGATCTCTTTGAAGAATAAATGCAATATACTCCATTATACGGTACAGGTATTTTATAACTGAAAATAGTTTATGTTTTAAGCCACAACAGCATACTTTTTTAATATATCAAAACCCTCTTTAAAATATATATTTAGTTACCTTCATGCTGTGCTGGAAAGTGGCGTTGTATATAATACCATACATGTGGGGATCCTGATATCGTGCAGAGTACACTCGGGACTTGCAAATCCAGAAGTGGTAAGTTCGATCTCCAGGTGTGGCAGTTGACACAAAAGGCACGCTTCTTAAACCCTCCTGTCTCTTGTCTACCCAGTGGCATAAATGGGTGCACGACAGTTAGTCGACCGACATGTTGGGTCTGGCGGGGTAAAGGGTGGGTAACTCCCGCCTCTCCGACGATTATTTTGCTAGTGGGGAAGAGTAGGCCAAATTCCGTCCAGCGGGGCTCTCTCTTGAGCTCCCTCTCTTTGAGACCCTTCTCCCAGCAGTAGTGTAAGAAGGTAATTACAGGGCTGCACCTTTACCTGAACTATGTATTGGCTGCATCACATATAGGAAAATATTGAGGGTATGTGTTTAACGTTAAGTGTGAGGAAATTGAACACGGGTTTTGAGCAGTGCTGGTTCAGTCTCGTGACTTGGTCAAAAGTTCCCATCCAGCCATGAACATGAATAGTTAAACTCATGGTGCTAACAGGAAGCACCTGGAATTATTTGAAGACATGGAAACATAAATTGCATTGTGAAAATGGAGTGTCATCACGTAAATGCCACACCTGATTGCAACTGCTGAAATCCTCAATAACTTTTGACGTTAATATATATCCATAATAGAGGTTTTTGGGTTAGATCGCGTAAATATATAAATGTGTCGTTAAAATCCGCCACCACCCGACACAGCCAACTAGTAAGGGTTGTCACGTAAACAGAGCGTGCCACTTCGTCACTCTTACAGCACACCGGTGTGTTGGAGAGTCAAGTCACAACATTTACAATCCGAGTACGACGTTTCGCTAGTAATTACTACTAGCTTCATCAGGCGACAGCCAGATTTGTGAAAAAGTCTTACTGTTTCGTTAATATATAAATACATATTATTCTCTAAGACTTGAGTAAATGTATGTAATTAACGTTTGCACCAATAAGATAATATTAGGTGTCAATTTTTCAATCAAAATCAACAAAACATGTTCAAGTATAGGGCAATGTCACCAATAACTTCACCTGCAAAAAACACACACTTTGGTCTTGGAGTCTTATTTGGCCCAGCCTAACTTTTAGTCGGCTTGTACTGAACAAATTGCTGTCATCTGCAGAGTGGTTTTATTGGATATGTATCAAAACTGTGAAATACATTTTGTATACGTTCCCAATATTAATTATGAATAGGGATACGTGAACTAATTTTCTGTATTTTCCCATGATTATTGGGACTCTTTTTTTTAGGAGTGTCCTGCATTGAAATGTTTACCTTATTCTGTTAATGTTTGGCATGTGGGAAGAACTAACAATGTCCAGAGAAACCCCACTTTGAAATCAAATCTATAGCATCAAATACATTGATTGAATGCCACTTTCTGACCAATAAGTCTGCCAGTACTATATAAATTAAATGTGTTTTTTTTTAAATAACATATAAACTATACTTAAGTCACTAGTTCCGTTGTCACACTTGCAATGGTTGTAGATAAGCATCTGTGAAAAATTGTATAATCTATTCGTCTCTAGTCACACGTCTTACAATAAATAGATCACATGACTTCTCTAAAAAAACGTAATATGAAGAAATGTCCTAGTTGGCCAATTTATTTATACTAGATTTCAGAAGAACTGATCATGAATGTTCACTGCCATGCTAATGTCAGGAGTCACTGAAAAGTCCAGTTTGTGCATTGCTTGCAGAACACATGGTCTTACCCAACAGCGTACATACACATTGCCACCACAAGAGTGATTTTACACACTAAGAACATTATTCTAGCCATAATTATGCTAAACTCCTGTTAGCTGTAGAAAATTGTGAATAACATAATTCATCGAGAAAATACATGAGCCATTACTTCCGCGTTATACATTGTTCATACCTGCTGGAAATATTGTTATTCACAAGCTAGCAGATACAAAGTTTTAATGTTTTTTTCTTTTTGCCACCAGACATGGGAATCATACTTCACAAACCGCAACACTCAACGAGTATAAGCAATCAGGAGTGAAATTAACTTCACTTTCCAAACAATTAAATGGCACAAATTGTGACTATGGTGAGTAGTATGCCTCACCATTCTGGCGAATTGCCCGATGATGCTGGCTGCAATTACCAGCGAAACGTCGTACTCAAATTGTAAATGTTGTGGCTTCAACACACCGGTGGGCTAAAGCAGTGAACTGTTTGTCTTTGTCAACGTGACACATTTTTTACTGATTGGCCGTGTCGGGTGGTGGAGGGTTACGACACATTTATAACTAAACGCGATCTAAACCCAAAAACGTTGATTATGAATAACATTGGTCGCGAAAGCCTACGTGTTAAACTGTCGATATTTTCTAAGCATTTTGAGAGAAAAAAAATCCATGATAAAGAAGTATTCCAAACATTGCAAAACTACCAGGATCAGAGCATTTTGCACTTGTATTATAATTCTGAAGATACTGTGCACATTAATATATAATCCCATAATACACATTTTTGGGTTAGATCGCGTTATCTATAAATGTGTCGTAACCCTCCACCACCCTCAACATAAAGAGACACTATTCAAAAAGTAAAAATATCCTTGATGATAAATCTCCAAAAGTAGTTTAGAAGAGATTTTTTCTAGAAAAGTATATTCCTCACCTCAAATCCAACTGAAGCTTGTTAAACTCAAAGCTTATTAAATTCTGGGAATTCATGGGTGTCCGTAACTGGTGGATGCATGCTGATGAGTTCTTATGAGAGTGAAATGCTTTCATGTTGCCTGAAACATCAAGCAACAAATCGTCCGTTTCTCAATCCGGTTGTCCTGGTGAGAGTCGCAGCTTACAAATCTTATGATTTATACCACAATATGAATCACACTGCCACGATGCAGTGGTTTAGCACACCGAACTTGCAATACAGATGCCCAGGTTTGAATTCCAACTCCTGGTTCAGCAGTTGAAACAATGGTGTAAGTTCCATACATCCCACATCTCTGTCCATCCAGCAGTAGAAATGAGCTACACCAGTTAGTTGACTAGAAAACTCACGCGTGGAAGAGCGGATGGACACTGCATCGTTCATGTTCAGATGCGCTTCTGAGGCCGTCTGTAACACCCTTTCTTCCGACATTAAGAAGCCACTGGGATTTGTGCACTTTTAAATGATCTCGATAGACAAACTCATTTCTTTAGAACTGCTTTTTATGTTTAGTTTGTTATCCATCCCCCGCACCTCGGATTAGCACGGTTGGCTACGTACGGTGCGAAAGAAGTTCAACATATATATGGGCTTATCAATGCTCTTAATTCAACCATCATATTTTGGACAGTGACCCCGTGGGGTCTATTGTGTAGGTTGTGATCTCCAACTAAAGATGCAGAGCTGCACCTTTATTTTTTTAAACGGTACACAAAACATAGAACGTTTAAATTACGTTTCTCATTTTGTACGCATCGAATGCCGCGCTTTGTGTCTGTCAGAAAATGTGTAATCAAGAAAAGATTATCGACACGTGCATCTGTGGAGGATGTGTGCAGCACCACCCGCCGCACACGCCCACCACAAATGCGGAAACGTCAAGAGAAGTACAAGTCACCGACGCTGCAATTGTTTTTCAAAGTCACAATGCTTGCTGTGTTTTACTTTGCTGTCAATTAAAACTTGGGCACTAACAATAATGTTCACATATATAACTGTATACATAGGCTGGATGCTGCCATAGTTAAATTGTTATCACATTAGACTTGGAACCTAAAGATTGCTGGTTCAATCTCCTGGCTAGGCCTCGGCAAGGTAAGGTAAAAGTTAAAAGTTAAAAACAACGAGCCTACCTTTACCCTACCTTTTACCTTACCACAATACAATCACTCTACCCTACCTTTTACCCCTTAGCAGGTAAGATAAAAGGTAAAAAGCAACGAGCCTACCGTTACCCTACCTTGTACCTTTACACCATACAAATTACCCGATTACAGGGTATTTACTGGGGTACAACACATGAAAAAAGTTTATAATGGTAAATGCTAGGTAGAGCGCTTTATTCATATATAATACTCTCGATTATTCAAATTTTACACGCTTTCTTTGAACTCACTCTGTCTGTTGTTGTCGTTGTGTCCTCAAATCTTGTAACTAAATTTTAACCCACTTCCCAATGTGGTATCGACTGCAAACTTGGTATACTTATGTCATACTGATGACAATACTATATTCTATCATAAAAAATTATAAAACATATTTTTAAACATTTTTTTTATGTTATGTTTCGGCTTGGGTCTAATTGTCCACGCTCAACTGACGTTGGCTGTGTTTGGCTATGGTCCCTTACGTTATGGCAAGCTTCTGGGCCACTTCCTGGAGTCGTGGAATTCTGCCATTATGAGTACATTTAATAAAAGCGTGTTTAAAATATTACTTATTAAATGGAGGCCACGGACTGCGCCACGGAGCTTTTAGCGGTAAACAAGGCACCGTATTTACCGGGTAATGCTTCGCGCTACCTTTACCCTACCGGGTAATTCCTCCGAGCTACCTTTACCCTGTACCCTTTACCTTGCCCCTTGGCATGTCGACACCTTTACCCTTTACCCTTTTACCCAGTAAAAAGGGTAAATTACTTTACCTTGCCGAGGCCTACTCCTGGCAATGGCAATACTGGTGCAAGATCTTTAAATTCGCCTGCATGTCCACCCAGCATTACAAATGTCTACACCACAGTTTATTGGCAGATGCGATGGGGTAAGCCCACCTCTAGCCAGCGTGGAAGAGTAGGCCAAATTTCCTTTAGAGGTGCTCGCGAGACCTACCTCTCGTGGAGGCCCTTCCATCAGCAGTGGCGCGAGCAAGAAATTGCAGAGTTGTACCAAGGAGTATAATTTGTTTTCAGAAATAATGTATGGTAACGTTTGTGGTTGTTATGGCACAAAGTGGTTATCACGATTAATCATGAACCCACTGACATACTTTAATAACACTCGTCTACAGCCAAAATGCTTCCGAAATAAATGTAGTCCAACTTTACTAAATCTGGGTCACTGAGAATTCAAATGATGCTTAAACTTTGATTGGCTCTAGTTTTCAAGCTATGCTATTGGGTCAGTATATACGACCCTTGACTTGGGAATGGCGGAGGATAAGTGAGTTATAAAGGGAAGGGATCTCAATTTAAACCATACACGACTAAAATACATATTTGACTGGATCTATGAATAAATCTATGACTGGGTTTGGACAGTACTTGCTTTTTGAGCAAAACAATGAATGATGCAATCTGAACCTGGTATTGCTACATACATGATATGAATTGCATCATGTTATTCCTAGAAGTCATGGATGATGTAATCATAACTAGGCTTACATCCTTCTGCTGAACAAATTGCCCGAAATCAGCTCTAGAAATCAAACAGTGTCGTGCTCTCTTATTCGTCATTATTTGATGTTGCAAAGGGACACATTTCTGTTTAGCCAAGGTCAGCAGAGATGCCTCGTACTTGTGTGAACAAAGCAGATAACTTATGGTATGTTTGTGGTGAAATGACTTTTGCATCACAAAAGTGCAGTATAACCACTATGGTTAAGAAAGCCGATCACCTTTATTTTTCTTTGGTTCTTTTCGGTTAAGTCACGTCTAAAATTAAAATAATAAATTAAAATAACATATTACGACGTTTCGATTGCAACACAAGCAATCATCATCAGGCATAAAAGAAATAGCAACAAAAATCTAACTAGAAAACTATAGACAGACATACAAGCAGACAGACATCACAACGGCACACAGAGAGAGGACACAAATCGGCACAAAGAGAGGGGTCGTTTCTGTGACGGTCCTTTAAATATAGAGAGGGGGGCAGAGAGAATTAGCATATCAATGAGTGTACGGCAACGTACTGCTGTTGCAAGTAAGATGACAATGTGGAACGGGCACGCAAGGTTGAAAATTAGGAGACAGGCACACGAAAATTAAATAACCTAGCAAAATATCGAAATGTGATGTAATACAACACAGAGAGTCGGTTAACACACAATTAACGCATAGCCTGGTTGATTACGTGTTTCAAAATTTGCTAAGTTAGATTTTTCGTGTGCCTGTCTCCTAATTTTCAAGCTTGCGTGCCCGTTCCACATTGTCATCTTACTTGCAACAGCAGTACGTTGCCGTACACTCATTGATATGCTAATTCTCTCTGCCCCCTCCCTCTCTCCGTCCCCGCCCCCCCTCTCTATATTTAAGGGACCGTCACAGAAACGACCCCTCTCTTTGTGCCGATTTGTGTCCTCTCTCTGTGTGCCGTTGTGATGTCTGTCTGCTTGTATGTCTGTCTATAGTTTTCTAGTTAGATTTTTGTTGCTATTTCTTTTATGCCTGATGATGATTGCTTGTGTTGCAATCGAAACGTCGTAATATGTTATTTTAATTTATTATTTTATTTTTAGACGTGACTTAACCGAAAAGAACCAAAGAATAATTCCTGCAGTCACGAAAGCTCCTAAATTAACACCTTTATTTTGGCTGAAAAATTGGAGATCAGGACAAGATGTGGGCTCCACGCATATGCTGTAACACTTGTGCAACAAACCTTCGCCAGTGGTTGAACAGGGCAAGGAAATCTATGCCTTTTGCAGTGCCAATGATTTGGAGAGAGCCAGCGGATCATATCAGCAATTGTTACTTCTGCATGGCACCTCCAGTTGGGAAAGGTGTGTCAAAGAAGAAAAAGTGGACTGTGCATTATCCAAACGTTCCATCAGCTATACGCCCAGTACCCCACGGAGAAGGACTGCCGGTTCCTGATGCACCAGAATAATTATCACTTGAGTCAGATGAGGAAGAGGATTAAACTTCTGGTCCTGAACCATCAAGGTCACATGACCCAGAATTTCTCCCATCCTCCTCCTCTGAACCACCCCTCATAACACAAGGTGAACTGAAAGAACTTATCAGGGATTTGGAACTACCCAAGAGTAAGACCGAGCTGTTGGGCTCCAGACTACAGCAGTGGAATCTCATGGCAGGTGATGTTAGGATTTCCACGTTCCGTGCCCATCAAAAGGATCTTGTCCAATTCTTCTTCATGGAAGGTGATCTTGTAGCCTGAAATAACATCGATGGTGTGATAGCAGCCCTCAACATCGTTCATGGTCCAGAAGAGTGGAGACTGTTCATTGATTCATCGAAGATGAGTCTTAAAGCTGTTTTGCTGCATAATGGAAATGTTTTGCCATCAATTCCAGTTGGTCATGCAGTCCATATGAAGGAAAACTATAACAACATGAAACAACTTTTGAGGTGCATAAACTATGACCAACATCAGTGGCAGCTTTGTGGCGATTTGAAGGTTATTGCTCTCTTGCTTGGTCTGCAAACTGGATACACAAAGTATTGCTGTTTTCTCTGCGAATGGGATAGTCGTGCGAGAGATTCCCACTTCATCAAGATAGATTGGCCACTCCGACAATAATTGGAGCCTGGGAGGAAAAGTGTTCAGCATCCACCACTTATTGAATCAAGGAAGATTTTGTTACCACCCTTTACACATCAAGCTGGGTCTCATGAAGAACTTTGTCAAAGCTATGGACAAAACACAAGTAGCTTTCAAGTACCTCCGTGGAAATTTTACATGGTTAAGTGAAGCTAAGATAAAGGAAAGTGTCTTGTTAGTCCTCAGATTCGTGAACTTCTTCGAGATGATACATTTGACAGTGCACTGCGTAGCAAGGAAAAGACGGAATGGAAAGCCTTCCAGTTAGTGGCAACACATTTTCTCGGAAACAACAAGGCAGACAACTGCAGACAGTTGGTTGGAAAACCTCCTCAAGACATACAAAAGCCTTGGTTGCAAAATGTCACTAAAGATACAATGTTTGCACTCATCTATATTTTTTACCACCAAACTGCAGAGCAATGAGCGACGAGCGTGGCGAGCGATTTCACCAGGACATTGCAACAATGGAGAAACGCTATCAGGGCAAATGGAGCCCATCAATGCTTGAAAAATATTGCTGGACAGTGGCAAGAGATGGTCCATTTAATGAATACAAGAGACAAGCCAAGAAACGCTGAGTAGACACTGAATAAGAACTAAACTATGTACTTATATAGACATTATAGTGTTTTGCCTTTGTCTCATAATACATTATATATATAAAACCCCCCTTCTTGGTTCTTTCGGTAAAGTCACGTAGAAGGGACGTAATAAAATAATAAAAATAAAACAATAAAATAATTCTCACGACGTTTCGGCCACAACGCAAGCAGCCGTCCTCAGGTGAAAACCAGGTCTGTCGAGGCGACAGTGTCTGAATGAAACAGCACACGAGCTTGGAGCATATATATAAGCTGGGTTGGAAGGGGGGGGAAGGGGGAGGAAGGGGCGCCCCCCTTCCAACCCAGCTTATATATATGCTCCAAGCTCGTGTGCTGTTTCATTCAGACGCTGTCGCCTCGACAGACCTGGTTTTCACCTGAGGACGGCTGCTTGCGTTGTGGCCGAAACGTCATGAGAATTATTTTATTATGTTTTATTTTTATTATTTTATTACGTCCCTTCTACGTGACTTTACCGAAAGAACCAAGAAGATGAATCCCTGCAGTCACGAAAGCTTTAAATCGAAATATATAAAACCCTTTTATTGATTTTAAAGTGTTACATGAACTGGACAGGTGACATGTCATGTAAAGCAACCATAAACTCATGAAAAGACCTAGGTTTACAATTTATGAGTAAAACGCTACTATCTACACACTATACATAGACGTAGAATGTAAAAACTTAAATATCTTGGGAACAGTAGCCAATCAGTTGTTTTAATTGCCATATTTGAATTCAGCAGATCAAAATCCATAATAAACAGCACATTTCATCTCTGAAGCAGACGGCGTCTAAAAAGTTGTAGGCCAGTGTAATTAGGCTTTCGTGATAAAATGTTACGATTTGTACCTTTTATTTTTCTTGCAAGACCATGCGAGTCCAATATCAATGTGTTAAACACCCTCTTGCACTTAAGTTAATTAATTTGTCTGCATTGCGTGGAGGAGGGTATACGACACATATCGGTAATGTGCTTGTGTGATTTACCCAAAAAAAGAGTTCATTATAAACTGGATATATAATTTGATTCCCAAGCATGGGTTAAAGTCAGTGATGAGTGGTGTGTAAAACAATCCTGCCCTATCGACCTTTAACCTCACTGAAGTACAAAGAACCGCCACAACTAAGAGATACGGTGATGCCTTTATCCAGCGGTTGATTAACAAGGGGGTGGTAAAAAAATATTTCTCCTTCCTTCTGATTTTAGTTGTAAATGCTCGTTAGTTAATAAAATAATTGTGAACCTTAAGGGGAGCAAAGTAGTTGAATCACTTTTCAATTTATGGAGTTGTGGACTCGCACATTTTGCAACACGTTTTTATTCCCGCCGATTGTTATTGTCAGATT